GATGCTTGTCTTTCCCTCAACCATTACACAGTATTAGCTTCTGAGAGCATAGCTACTGGATAACTGAGGCCTCACTAATTAAGACTTTATTTTGAATTAAGATTGTATAGTCTTTAAACACAATGCTGTTCTTTCTCCTGTTATTAACACGTATATCTAGCCGTTTTACTTAATCCTTTTTAAGGCCACTAATGCTAATAACCATTGCAACATCCTATAGAAATAGATCTGACCAGTTAATTATCTGTTATGAAGCAATTCTTTGCTTTCTTTGAAATCTGCTACCTTTCAGTTTGAATTAGTACTTTGTTGAAGTTTTGCTTTTGAGAGCCAGTGCGGTGTAGTGGTTAAGATGCTGAACTAAAGCAGGGGAGCCAGATTCTAATCCTCCCTTAGGCACAGAAGCCAGCTGGCCAACCTAGGGCCAGTCAGTCACTCTCGGCTCTAATTAGCATCAGGCTCTGCCAGAAGGTGGCTGAAAACAAAACGTCTCATCATATCATGCACTGAAAGCTTCGTTATGTGAAATGAAGTGACTGTATTTCCAAAATTTGGCAGGATGAGAAATGAGGACTATCCTACACTGAGATCTATTCAACTTCTTTCCAGTAATGCATTGGTCACAATTCTGTGGTGGGGAGATGGAATGGCTGTTGTATACCACAAGACCTGGTAGTAAGGAAGTGGCTGTTCCACAGGTGGCCTAATATGAAACTGATTTCTGAAACTGGGCCTTGGGGATAAGTTGCTGCTGCTACTGTACCATACTTTCAGATGCATAGCAGCATCCCTAATGGGTGCACCTATATTGGTAGTCTAGGTTGATTCCCCTCATGCTATGGAAAGTTTCATCAGTTCCTTCATTATGTACAGATTACTTCTTTGTGACAATAGGCTTGACTGGAGATTTTTGGATTGTAGAAAGAACATACATTGTTATCTGCAAAGTAAAACTAGAAGGTATGATTCTCAGAAGTGTTAGCTCAATATTGATTTAACAAGGGATTGGACATCTTTAACTGAGAACCAGGACAACATTGATAAACTGCTACATTCCAGTGTTTTTGATAATTTCTGGTTTTTTTCGTATTTGATTTCTGATTTTTAAAATCTTAACAATTATTTTAAAAAATAGACTAGGAAAGTGTTACATAAATTTTTATTTTGGGATAGCTTTCCTTTAATTAGTAGCATCAATGAGGCATTCACTCAGATAAGTAAGGAAAAAGGCAAACTTTGGAAATGGAGGTCCTGATTTTGACTTTGGGGCAGAGGAAGCTTAATTTTATATAAGGGCTATAAGTAGAAGCTACAACAGCAAAAAGTTATAAAGATCTATTATTGTCAGTCGCATAATCAGTCAGAAGTTTAAAATGTTCCTGTATGTAGCTTACAGCTTATATATGGGTTACAAAGATGACTGAATAGACTATCAAAAGATAAAGAAGCTGTTCACTACAGCTTTAACTAATTTTATTTTAAATATTACGGATTTCCCATAGTTGATCTCTAGAGATTGCCTGAGAACCTCTACATATTTATCCAGAGAGAAGTTATCATCTCTTAATATAATTTAATATTCATCACAGTAACTTGATACTAAGCTCATTCTCCAATTTCTATTTGCTGTCCTTCTATTTTGGATGTATAATAATAACAACTCCAGTGTCAAAATCAAAGCATGCTTATATCCGAGAGCAGGGTATATGTGCTGTGCATGTGATGAGTGAGGAAGCCTCCCCATCCACCCAAGCTGGTCAGCTGTAGACATATGAGGAATGAAGCTGCAATGCTAAGAATCTGTTGCTGGCCCAATCCATCATCAGTGACTCAAAGCAACAGTGAATGAACAGCAACAGTGGGAGACTATACACTGAGAAATCAGTACTTGCTTTCTGAAATGAGGTACTGTGCAATGAAGCAAACAAAGAACTTCTATGCAGTTGTTATACAACACCAATTTGAGTTCACAACCTTTTATTCTTTCTACTTTCCCATTTTGTGGAAGAGTGAGATAAGGAAGAATTAAATATAGTCAGAATTGTACCAGAAATACTTTTGTTCTTGGCTTCTTCTGCCATTTTTAAGTATAGTTTCCTACACAAGGAAAATTTCATCCTAAAGTGGGAAAACATTTTTTATAACATATTCAAATGACTGTTACATTTATTTGTTGAGATTTCATTATCTCGTCTTTATTTGTACAACTCAAGGCAATATACATAATACAGGTAGCCCTCGACTTACACCACCTCATGTAATGACCATTCTGAGTTACAACATTGAAAAAAGTGACTTATGACAGTTTTTTCAAACAATCGTTGTGGCATCCCCATAGTCATGTGATCCAAATTCAGATGCTTGGCTACTGACTCACATTTATGACCTTTGCAGTGTCCTGAGGGCATGTGATCCCCTTTTGTGGCCTTCGGGGCAAGCAAAGTCAATAGGGAAGCCAGATTCATTAAGCAGCCATGTTACTGATTTAACAACTGCAGTGATTCACTTAACAACTGTGGCAAAAAAGGTTGTAAAATGGGGCAAATTTACTTAACTAATGTCTCCCTTAGGAACAAAAATGTTGGGCTCAATTGTGGTTGTAAGTTGAGGACTACCTCTACCCCCTCCTCCTATTTTTCCCACAACTGTATATATGTAGTTGGGCTCAGAAGGAGTGTCTCATTCAAATCATCCTCCTGGCTTCTGTGCCTACGAAAGAAACAGAGCTCACTTTTCCAGTTTCTAGATCTGTATCCTTCCCTTTTTTTTCCAGAAGTTCAAGATAGTATAAGTACTCTCTCCTCTTTGTAACAAATGAGGAAATTTTTAAAACTGGTAGGACTTCTCTGTTGCTGCACCTGTCCTTTGAACACCCTTGACTATAAAATCCAGATGGTCCCAAACCAAACCTGTTAGACTTCCATAAGACTGTGAAGATCTGACTTTTCATTGGTGTTAGTGCTAGAATATTAATGGAGCCCAATATGTGTTTTTTGGCACTGTGCATTCTTGTGAGGACCCTTGATTATTGTATTATCATCATTATCATTATTTTTAATTGAATTTTGTTTCATTTTATATTGATTTTATTTCTAAAAAATGAACTGTATCGGCCACCCAAAACTACTAGTATAAAATAGGCAACCATATAAATTATCTAAATAAACACATAAATGTTGTGCTGAGAAGTGAATGATCCACTCCCATGGCTTCCAATGCTGAGAGGGACCATCCCAAGTATCTTCTGTGATGACCCGAGGCGTGACAGTCAAATAAGCAAGAAGAATCCCTTTATTATCTCCAACTTTGCCCCCAATGTCCAGGTTACCTTCGGTCAGAGAAAAACTCCCCAGGAACAGTTTTTAAGTGGAGGAAATTCAGTCCAAAAACAAAGTACATACAAACTGTAACTAAAAATCCAAAGAAACCATGCTGCAGTAATTAACTTGACAGGGCAGGATAAGGAATTGCAGATGCAAAATCACAACAAAACACACACAGTTGGGAAGACGCCAGGACAGATAAGCCTTGATGAAACCAGATATGCTTTGCTCTCAACAACTTGCTGTGTGCAGCTTCCCCTTTTTAAACACTGTGTTCCCAGCTACAGCTAATGAAGGGAATCAGGGCCCTTTCCTCCCCCGTTAGCCATGCAATTCACATTAGTCCCTTCTCCGCTCCTCCCTGCGTGCTCTAGGATGAAGAGGTGGTGGGCCTGGGTCTTCTTCTGAATTCCCTTTCCCTTGCTCTATCTCTCCGCTACTCTCCCCAGCCAGACTTTGCCCTTCCCCAGTTTCTTCCACAGTCAAGGGAGCCACATTCCCACTCCCTGTCAGCTGCTTGGCCTCCCCCTCCAATACAGATTCTGAAAGGGGCATGACACTTCAGTCTTAATCCAACAACTTAACGACTAAAGTTTAATTAAATTTATATCTACTAACATTCCAGTCATTTTTACTGAATTCATTAAGCCCGAATTCATTCATTACTGAATTTGCAGTTTAAATTCACCAGGACTGAGTAACTTTGCACCTCAGTTTAACAGTACTGTAGCAGAATATGACAATGAATCTAAATGACAAAAAAAGTTAATTCAGATTTCACCTCTACCATTAATTAATTATGCGACCTTTCACACAAATGTCTCTTAATGCAGCCAATTACAATACAGGTAGTCCCTGACTTACAACAGTTCTTTTAGTGAACATTCAACAGTACTGAAAAAAGTACTGAAAAAAGTGACTTATGGCCATTTTCAACTTATGACTACTGTAGCATCTCTATAGTCACTTGATTTACATTTGGATACTTGACACCTGGGTCATATTTATGATGGCTGCAGTGTCCTGGAGTCATGTGATCCTTTTGCAACCTTCTGATAAGCAAAGACAATGGGAAGCCAGATTCACTTAATAATCTTGTTACTAATTTAACAACTTCAGTCATTCACTTAACAAATGGGGCAAGAAAAGTTGTAAAATGGGGCAAAACTCATTTAAGGACATCAATTTTGGCCTCAATTGTGGTCAAAAGTTGAGGACTACCCTGTACCATATGGGAGATAACTATCAAACTAATATTCTTGAAAGGGCTATAAATCAAATTAAGGTAATATATCATTATTAAATATGCCTAGGATTTTATACAAGAAAACCCACCCATCCACATCTCCTTAACTGTAACCCTCTGCTTCTCCTCTACGCGCGTTTGAAAAAGGGATTTCTATGCCCTGCCTCAAAAGAGTCATTGTACAAATAAGTCAAGCAGCAGTTAAAGAAGAAGGCGCGCGGCGTTTAGAGAGCGGAAGCCCTCCTGGTTTTCCTTCTGAATATGTTGCTATCCGAGAAAAGTCAAGTGAGAGATTGCGAGTGAAGGAAGGAAACGCAGAATATAAATCAGAAGCCACCAAAAAAGCGCAGGAAACCTCCTCCGTCTCCTAGCCCAGGACGTTTTTTGAGACACGAGCGCATGCGCAGAGTAAGGCGGCGGCGAGGGGGGGCAGAGTAAGGCGGTTGCTGTTACCCAGCATGCTCGGCGTACCCCCCTCCCTCCCCTTGGGTGGGTGAGTGAATCTGGCCGGTGGATGATGGAGCGGAGGCTGTAATGGCGGCCGGCGGCAACCGTGATAGATGCGGCTCGGGTACAGCTGGACTTTGACACCCGGGTGCTCCTCTACGCCGCTGGGACTTCCTCCCTGGGCCGGACACTCCCCCCTCCCCGAGAGCACCGCTGAGGATTCGGCCGGACACACTAGGCGGGAAGAGGAAGAGGGGAGGACTCCTCACAGACAATGGACGAACATCCCGGCGCCGGAGGAGGGATCATGGCGGGGGCTACCCCGCGACCTCAACAGCAGCCGCTGCCGCCCATCGGAGGCAACGTTAATTCCCAGCTGCTGAACCAGGGCTGCGCGGGGTCTAACAGCGGCGGTGGCGGGAGTCTGCCGTCCCAGCAGCAGTCTCAAGGTCCGGCGGCGGTTCAGGAAGCGGCGGGGCCCGGGAGCGGATCGGAGCTGTCCCGGCCCCAGCATTACACTATCCCGGGAATCCTGCACTACATCCAGCACGAGTGGGCCCGCTTCGAGATGGAGCGCGCTCACTGGGAGGTGGAAAGAGCCGAGCTTCAGGTAAGATGAAGCCGGGTTGCGGGCAGGCGAGAGGGACACAATGAGAGAGAGAGAGTGAGAGAGAGAGAGAGAGACGGGCTGAGTTGAGCCCGGCCCGGCTCTAAGGCTGACGGCGGGGACTTTGCCGACGATGCGGGGAAAAGGTGGGCGCGGAGGAGAAGGTACCTGCGTGTGGTGGGTCCGGCGAGGCGTGGCGTGGCGCGGCGGGCGTCACTCGGCACGTCCCCCTCGGTGCTCTTCGGGTTGGGCTGCTTTCCCCGGGGCAGCCATTTTGGTTTCTAGCATGGCGCCCGCCTGGCTCGGGCCTGTCAAGAGAGTTGGGAGAGGAGGAGGGCTCCCCTCTCCTCCTCGACCGCCTCGACCGGTCGGTCCCAGATATGAACCCCCTGCCTCTGCCAGCGTGGGACCTTCGCCTTGACAGTTATTCTCGCGCTGAGTCCGTCCCGGTGTTATTGCCGGAACTGCAGGAATGTCGAAGCCGGCTGGGCACCTCAGGGAGTTTCGCGGCCTAAGAAAAACCCAAGAGTCATTCATACACACACACACACACACACACACACACACACACACACACACACACACACACACACATATATGTATGAATATATATATTATATACATATAAGACAGGACCAAATATGAGTGTGAGCCGGATCGTTGCGTGTGTGTGTGCTTATGTATGTATATATACACACACAACGACTCGGGTCACACTCCTATTTACAGCCTTGTCTTGGGAACGTAGATCACGCACGGACCCCTACTCTTTTTTTCAGTCCCTTCATTCTTAATTCAAAACACCCCCGAAAGAGATGGAGATGAAGGCATGGGTGACGTTAACAGATTATCTGTTTAATCCTCTGCACCCATTATGTGATTTCAGTGACCAGTATTTACACAACGTAGGCTGCTTACAGTATGTTATAATTGTAGCAAACACAATCATGCTTTTATCAATGAACCAAAATTGGGGATTTTGTATACCTGGTTTTACTGCATTCTAGTGACATGACTAGGCATTTTGATTAAGTGAGTGAATGTAAAGAGGTTATTAACGTTAAAACGTATTTCAAAATAAACAGGGTAATTGACATTTTAGACTTGCTCAGTACTAACATATCCTCATGTTAAATTTAGACGTGTCACGATCCATAATGATGATTGTGAGAAATAGTGCTATCAAGTACTGAGTTAAAAGCAAAAGAGATGTGAGGTATGTGGTTAGTCCTGAGAAAAAAGTGTTGCAATGTAGATAGATGCAACTCTTTGAAAGTAGGTGTCCTGACTTGTTTAAAGTTATGCAGTCTTTTACTTTCAATTTTTCATTTTAAGAGAAAAGGGGAAAATAATAGCTATTGACCGTACAGAATTCTTATGAGGGCAAATGCTGAATTTTGCAAAGTGAATGCTGCTAAAAAGCATAATCAAAGAGTTTATGCAACAGCACTTAGGGTGGTATGCTGCATAAATCTGAACAATTCTTTTGGCAGATTTATTTATTTACAACAGCTTGCATGCAGCTCAGTTCCAAATTGCTTTGAGCAGCTTACATCAGGCAACAACAACATTACAAACAAAATTATAATAATTTAAATAGCAAATATCCTGTAACTTCAGCATTGGGGGGGGGAGGATGTTATCAATCCTCATTGTCCTTGAATGCTATTTTCGGAAGCCTGACAAGGAAAGGATGATCAAGATATCCAGGGAAAAGTTATTCCACAGAAGAGGGACCATCATTGAAAAGGCTTCATCACAAGGCCTCGAAAATGCTATTCCCTGAGAGAAGGAATCCTAACAGGCTTTCTTTTTCCATTCTAATTAAATAGGCAGACGCAGCCCAGCTATTACTGGACAAACCAATTCAGCCTAGAGCAAAGGTAGCAAGGTTCTGAGTCATGAAGGTTTATATGACAATCAGCACCTGAATCACACCTGGAAATATACTGGCAACCATAATAGTAATGTAGTGTCACATGGACAAATTTGGGTATGCTTGTAACTACTGGATCACTATGTGCTATACCAGTTGAAGCTTCCATATGTTTTTCAAGGGCAGCCCCATGTAGAGTGAAGTTCAGAAGTCCAGCCACAGGGTGACTAGAGCATAAGTAATCCTGATCATTGCCTGTTCTCCATGAATGGTCAAAGTTATTGACATTGTACACCAGATGTAATTGTATGAAGATCCTCCTGATCACAAGCTCCATGTGCTGTTCAATAAGAAGTTATGAGATCAGGAGGACCACCAAATCTATTATTTAAGAAAGGATCCCATTTTTTTTGTGGGCTTCGATGACCATGTATGACTTAGATCAAAGAGAAATAGAAAACTTTTTAAAACTTATTAAAAATATTAAGTAATAGACTTTTTATGTGAGGAAAATGGAATCAAATTCCACAAATGAAATAATTTGCTCCTTTTCTTTATCAGCTATCAGGCATAAACATTTGAAACTGGAGTCTTGTCTCTACCTCAGTGTGACTGTGGTGTTCCTTGACAAAATATCTATCACATTGTGTCCAAATGTCCATCAAGAGCTTACACTGGCCCAATGTCTGATTTTTTTCAACATAGACTACCCTGTCCTTGAATGTCTGGTGGACTGGACATTAACATTTGAACTACTATAAGTCCATGTCTTTGCCATACGCTAAATAAATAAATAAATAAATAAATTTGAAACTAGAAATAGAATTTTCAGTTCTAGTGAGTTGGAATTGTAAATGGAGTACAATATCAAGCTCTTCCAGATACTATATTAATCATTCATGCTGTTCAATGTTATTTTGCATGTAAGAGGCTGAACTATTCTGTGAGTTTCAGGGATATCATATGGTGAAAACATGAGCTGCCCTCAACTCCAAATTTGTTGCTGATTAGTTGCAATTGTAGAAAAATTATGGCACCTTAATTTTTATGGCTATTTTAATTTTTTGTCAACTGATACAGCTGAAGATCCAAAATATTAGTGCCATAGCTTGCTGTAATGTTAGTGGTACTGGCCCCACAATCAGTTGTTTTTGCCAGGCTCTCGGCAAAACTTTTTTGACCTAGCAGAACACATTACTACTGGAATGCACCTTGGCCAAGCCATACTTTCACAAGCAAATGTAATCAGGGGTTTAGGATTAAGTCCATTCTTACCATTAATATTACAAGACTGAAGCCTGCTTCCAGTCCAAACTTCTTATAACAGCAAGATGTAGCTTTTGTCATCTTGCTTTCTTTAAATTGTTATAGCCTCCAGATTTGATTTTGATGTAGACCTATTTTTACAACCAAACAATAAGTTCGTTCTTGTTATTATAATTTTTATTTAACTAAATATTGGTTTGGTTGAATAGTTTTCACTTCTTTAAGGATTTTTTCCTCCTCAAGATTCATTTTGCATATGCTTGTGTGAAGATTGTTGTATTATTTGTGGTTTACCAGACTAGTAATAGCACTATTACTACAAGTCATTTCAACATTATGCCATTATTATAATAAGCACAGTCTTAAAGAATTGTCAGCATTCATAAAGATTTTGCTTGCTTGGCAGAATTTGTTGTAGGATGGAATAAAACCTCTTATGGCACAGAGTGCCTGTGGTAATATAAATTAGGTTAGAACAATGTGAGGCTGCCTTATTGCTTTAAAATTTTAGTTCAATTACTTAAGGCCAGTCAGATATCAGAAGTGATATAGTAATTGTAATTGTATCAGATCTAATTTGAATTTAAAAACAGGTACTCCTTGAGCTATGGCAATTCCTTCAATGACTGTTCAAAGGTTATGGCAGCACTTTATGGCTGTTGCAGCATCCATGCGGTTATTTGATCAACATTTTGGTACTTGGCACCCTGCCCACACTTAAAACTGTGGGTATGCTTCCAACTCCTTCCACCCTCTGTGTCCCATCTCTGTCCTTTTGATTCTCCTGTCCATCACCCTAGCCATGTTTTTGCTGCTACTGTTACCAAGTTGGTCGCCCTGGCCCTTTGCAAGGCAATTGACGGGCACATGAGGCCTTCTCCCCAAGATTGCATTTTGCGGTTTCCTTGTGAGACCTCTGAAAAAAGGCCTCACATGGTCAACAGCTCCCTCAAAAAGAGCCAGGGTAGGCATGCCTTGTCAGCAGAAGGATCAAGAACATGACCAAGATCAACTGAGGCAGGGTAACAGGGCTGTGGAGTGAAGGGTAGTGGGAATAACTGGGCTTTATGCTGTGTAGATGGGATGGCATGGCATTGCTGGGCTGGCTGTATCTACCACATTGCTGAGCTGAGATGGCTAGGGCTTCCTGGAATGGCTGGGCAGGGGTGCCTGGGGCTTTGCACTGTTGGGCTGGAGTGGAGTGTGCAGGTTTTCTTTACTTTGCTAGGCTGGGGAAGCCATGGCATTACATTGCCGGGCTGCAGCTTTATGCCGTGATATTGGGCTGAGGTCGGGCAATTCTGGCATCATGCTGGATTGTGTCTAGGGCGTCTTGTAATCTCAGAGCTGTGGCATTCCAGGAAGCCTTTGAACTGCAAACAACTGCACAGTTCTGGGGTTGCTCCACAAGGCAGGGTGAAGGGCATCAAAAAGGACAGAAGTAGAGAATATGTGGTTGTGGGGAGTTGAAGGGGAAGCAGTGGAAAAACTGAAGTTTGAGGTGGGTCTTTGCCTAATGGCTAGTGGGATTTGATTAACAGAGGCAACTAGGAATGCTGTGATTACCATCACTAAGTGATACAGTCATGTTATGTCATGTTTTACGACTACATTACTTAGCAATGGAAATTCCAGTCCCAGTTTCCATAGTAAGTCAAGGATTACCTGTAGATTAAGTCATCACATAATAGGAATATTATAATTTATGTCATCTGTTGTATATTGTGAAAGATAGAATTAGAGTTTCAAGTCAAATGTTTTCCAGTAGACTTTGCTACATGGTATAATGTGAAGGTAAACAATTTGGTGCCTTCAAATGTTTTGAACTAAGAATTTCTTAATGTCTTATTAGTTGAAGGAG